AACAGCTTTCACAGGTGTGTGCACAACGAAAAATTGCCTAACCAAGCGAAGGGGGGGGGGGGGATAAATTTTTCCAGCTCAAGTGTTAAAATCGTTTTCCGTTACCTTTTCTGTGTATAACTGTTGAAGTGCTGCGCAGCGAAATTTTTCTTTTCGCTCGCTAAAGTCAGCATTCTCTGATGATAAAATGGTGTTATGAAAAATATCATTTCAGTATCTGTTTTAGAAGCGCATGCTGCCGAAGGCGGCAACTTTTTATCACAAAGCACCGAATCAAAATATTCAATATTAGTTATGGCACATTGTTCACATATTCGACGTAAAATATCGATAGAAGAAAATGATGATGGTATATATAATAATGATTCAATTGATGTTCGTTGTCGAGTTCTATATAAAAGAAAAACATGATAATTCTTAATGACAAGATTAATTCAAATAATTACTAACCGAACAATTGTCTTTATATATCGTTGTTGATCCTAATCATTTGAATATTTATATGAAATAATAACAAGTCTATGAGTATCACTAATACCATACCAATTAAAATATTGCTGATAAAAAAAGGAAATGAAATATTATTTAAGAATACAAAATAAAAAAGTTTTCTTTACTGTTGGTACAAATTTTTGGCGATATATTAATGGTCTATCATCCATTTCAAGTCAAGGTAAACATTCATCAAAACCTAGTTGTATGAGTTGAAGCAGACTTTTTATAACACCATGTATATTCATTGGTTGATTTTTTATATGAACCTGGTGAAGAATTAGCGGAGTAATTATTTCCTGGAAAAAACTGTACGCTGTGATAATGGTAATTCAATCATACCAGTTGTAACGACATTAGATGATGATTCAAGTAAACCCTGAATAAATTATTATGGAATAAAAATATTTATTTAGCTTTTACTTTCTATCGAACAAGTGTTGCAGCAGCAGTAGAGGATATGTGCTGTTAAAAAAAGGAGAAATTGTTAAAATTTAATGAAAAATTTCTGTGAGAAAAAAAGCAAATTAGTATACTAAAACACATACAAGGTAATTCCGATTATGAATTGAAGATAATGGTGATAGATTGCTCATTCGACGAGTCAATACAGGTGATATTGAGGATAACTTATCATCTAAACTCCTATTTAGATGAATCTCAGCAGTTATGGTTCGTTCTCGTCGACGCATATCGATTAATTTCTGTAATAATATTCAATGTCAAACAAAAGCAAACAAGACGAAGATTGATTCCTATGGCATGCATTTGTTATTGTTATTATTATCATTACTATTCAGCACAATAATACACAATTATCGATGATAGTTAAGAGACAAAAGAGAAAAAAATCTCTTTTTTTCTCTCTTTATTTTCGGTTTAGAATGGAAGACAGTGCGATAAGTTCTAGAGACGTGTGTTGCTTGTCTGATGATGAAAAATATATGCTCATCTTCCTCTTTTTATCTGATACTCGAATATATGTATCTTCTTCCTCTCATGTCTTTGTTCATCATCATCATCGTTTTCTTTCTTCTTTTTCTCGTTGATGTCACAGCAGCGACAACAAAAACAGACATACGCACCAATAAACAAGGCCATATTATGGGAACATCTTGCTAACTTCTATTAGTATATTGTCATTAGAAAAAGCGAAAAGCTCGTAAATGATAAAAAAGTATAATATCATGACGTAATCAATATTAATTCAGTTATAAGCATGGATATTATATTGCATATCTGAAGAAGACTGTACACACTATGTTTCGTGGCTGTAGAAAATGAAAAATGTTCATTGTTATTTTGTTTCTTCTCATTAATATTGACGAGTGAAAAAAAGTTTAATTCAAGATACTTACTCTAGTTTCATGAGTTGGTATTGGTATGGTATTATTGATAGGAACTGAATCAAATGCAGTACCCACCAAATTAACTAGACTTGTACTAATCTAAACAAAAAAATAGAAAGAGGATTTAGAAAAATGAATTCATTATTCATTTTTTTAAATCGTAAAGATTAAAGATAATTAAAGGTAATCTATCAAAAATACAGACGATTGTTTTAACTAGTTGAAAGACAATAAAATTCATCGTTTCATCTCCTTGAATGAATTCAATTTAACATGCAAGTGAGCTTAGAATATAATAAGCTTTATGAATGTGTGCGTTTATACAAATGTGAGTGGAGACAAAAAGAACAATGTTGATATGTTTAATTTGATACGTCGCGTCGTATAAACTGATCATGAAGCTGTTTAAATAATACTTTAGTCAATCGGACAACATCGATAATGAATAAGGGGATTTATTTGTCTCGATCATATTCAAATCAAATTAAAACGAATGAACAAATGTGAGAATAATACAATTCTTTTTACCTCTTTACTAGATAATCTACGTGAATTAACCAATGATATATCATCGTTTGTGATGAGTGGTATTTGTGATGAAGGATTGAATACAGATCTGGGTTGATGGTATTGAAGGTTTAACATGATGTTTATTTTTTTATGTGATGGTGAATAAGAAGAAGATTTTGTTGGAATTAAAAGAGATTTTCATGATTGATGATGATCATCTGCTAATGCGCTACTTTGTTCAGTCATTGATGAGCCTTAATCATTATGATCTTTTGTAGGATCAGGTTTTCGTATAATTTAAACAAAAAAAAAGAATTTTATTTATTTAATATCCTCCTACAAATCTATCAGGAATATCGCGAGACGGTATAAGATGAGCCAAAATTCTTGATACTTCATGCTTTTTCTTTCCAAGAAAACCAAAATTCAACGCAAACAATTTTTGGCACTGTGAGGAAGATCATTTTTGGCACGTGAGTAATTCGTTTTCTTCTTAACGTCGAAAATTGTCGAATTTTGTTTTTTTCCAAAGAAAAAACACACTATTAAAATTAGCTTTACTTTGAAGATTATAGAGTTTTTCGCATTGTATCTTGTGGTATATTCTGTTCTTTTATGACACATATTAGAAAATGCAAAATAAGATACAAATATGGCAATTCATAATGAGGCACCGTTACTTTATCACGGTCTGCGAAAAAACTTTTCTCTTAGCTGTTGGTTATGCATCTTCGTTATAGCTTCGGCTATAGCGATGAAAATTGAGGATAATATTCACCTAGTTGGAAGATATTATATGGCCAACTTTGAGCATTTTTAAATTTATAGTAAGAAAGAAAGAGAAATTTTTCTGTGAAGTACCAAGATTTTTGGCTTACTCTATAGTTTAATGATAAATATCTATATACTCAAGAGTCTATAAAACGTATTCTATTGTTTATTTTCGATGATAGTAATCATCATATCTTCTTTCATTATGTTGTATACATATATGTCTAATGATAGAAGTCGGAAAAAATTGTATTTTCGATTGATGATGATGTGGATGTATAAATAAAAATAAAAAACCACATACATCTACACATGGTGAAGTGTCGTCAATATTATTATTATGATTTTCTTCTTGCCTACAAGAAATGTTCGTCTGAAATTACTCTACATACTCCCACTTCATTTTTTTAATTAATGCTTTATTTTTATTCAATTTGTATGAGTACAGAAACTAGACCCTAAGTCCCGGTTTCCAATTGCTTTCACGTTTTTACAAGTAATTAGAGTAAATCAAATTCGAGAAACAGTCGACTCGATCAATAAACAGTTTGCATGAAGTAATCAATTAGTATTGTGACGCGAAGATCATTGGCTTTGATCATCGATGACACAGAATAGTGCTCAGGCAGAGTATCGAAACTCTAGAATCTGACTCAAGAGTCAGATGGCAATGCCACTCAGCCAGCCTAGGCCACATTCCCACTCTTTCAGCACACATATGCCAATATACGATTGATAAGCAATAAAAAAATTACTAGATTATTTTATACCTTCTCTGTTTTTCGATAGCGTATGTGCGCAGAGAAATAGAGTAATAGATGTTGTGATATACAAACATATGTGAACTTGTTAATCATACCTGAATAATAATAGCATTTGTCTTTGAAGAAAGATCCAAAACTGAATCAATATAAGTGTGAAAATGTATGAAAGAATTCTTGATCAGCTGATGAAGAAAATAAAAAATCAAATGCTGTTGTGAATATAGTCTAGCAAAAATGGATTTTGTTTTTCTTTAGGCTCGTACACAACGTGAAGGTGCTGCTAAAAAGACTTGTCATATTTCAGATGATAATGATTTCGATTAAATGTTCTTATTTTTTTATCCAAATATGTATAGTAGATTAATCAGGTAATCAATCAAATTTATGTGTGTGAATCTCTTATTTTTTCATTGTTCTTGTTTAAAAAAGAGAATAAAATAAAACATAAGAGAAATGGATAGTTTGAGGAATAATTAAAAGCTATGCACGTGGTGCTGATTGATCCAATTTGTTTTTCTTTGCTTTACGATTATATGCAAGAACAAATTTATTTATTTTATGCGATATTTCTTTAATAAAATTTTCAGCATTAACCAATTTTCTAGAACATTTGTATAAAAAAATGAATATAAAGAGAACAACGTTATTCATATTTACTTATTGACGGCGTAATCCGTAAGTAACATCCCATATAGTGAAAACCGGATAAAAACCGGCGACTTATCGCTAAAACTGATCCTGTTTTTGTGACATGGGATATAATGTTGATATTCTTTGCCATTTATCCAAAAATAAACGATTTCAATTTGATTTTTAATGATAAATTATTTTACCACAACAGTTATATAATAAGAATGATCATCACAGCAATGTGCAACAATAATTTTAATATCTTGCTTTTCATAATGAATTTTTTTTTTTTTTTTATTATGCAATAACTGCGATCCTAGGATCCTAACAGTACCAAAGATGAAAAGAGTGAGACATAAAAAAGACAAAAACAAAACAA